CTCTCTCTCTCTCTCTCTCTCTCTCTCTCTCTCTCTCTCTCTCTCTCTCTCACACACACACACACACACACACACACACACACACACACTCTTTCACATACACACCCTTGTTCGCTCTCTTTCTCTTTCTTTCTGCCTCTCTCTCTCTATTTCTCTCTGTCAAAGCAAAGATTAACGACCGAAGACGGGTTATCAGCCACGATTGAGACGTTTATGACCGAGGTCTCAAAGGTAAATGTTACTTTCCACTTTCCTGTGTCGCACAATGTCGGCTCAGTGTTGTGGGAGGAGTGTTGTGTTTCACCTGGCCATGAGCGTGAGCTGTCTCTCGAGTAGCTCTGCGCCTTGAGCTAAACCACGCTGGCCACCATGGTTGTGTTCCATACACGGAAGGGCAGACTTGTACTAACACATGTACAGTCTCTTTGGCCTTTTGCGTCTTGATGCACGATACAGCTTTACCTGGGCTGTTGGCTTAGGGGAAGTAGACTCCACGTACAGCATGGCCTAGGTAAACACATTGGGCAGCTCCTTCCCCTCCCCCTGTGTACTCCAGAAGCGATAACTGTAGTGTCCACTTGCAGCAAAAACTCGATTCAGTTTACTGTATGATGGTACCGTGCAACACCACATTGTAAAACGTATAGAACCTCTCAGGGAGCTGAGATATGCTCTATGTAGGCCTACATACAATCTATTTCTACTATCAATAATAATACCAAACTCTCTGGACTTTTGCACCTTTTTATTTCCATGAAGAAAATGCTGAGCACGTGTTTTTGGCAGTAAAATATATCATTTCGGAGACCACTATCCACAACCTTGTGATTTAAAGGCATGGTCCTTTGAGCTTTGCCGTGGGTTCATCGTCCTATTCCATGGCGTGTGGTGGTTTATGGGGCGGGGTTTTCGATTTAACGTTAGAACCAAGCCAAGCGGTTGGGGGAGGGTCGTGAAAACTTCTCGACCCAAAACGAGTTGAATAATTCCATGTTGGAGTGGTGAACAGGAATCGCACTGCAGTCTCCTCCCGATCGCTAACTGACGTAATGAACGTCGAAGTGTCCGAGGTTTTGTGAAGACCTCTGGTAATGCTGCATGTAACTGTAGTCACGTCTGTTGACCGTTTTTGTGGGGTTATATACAACGTTTGTTGTTTTACATTGAAGTTGCGTTCATCAGCATAGTGCGACTGTTCTTCCATACGGTCGCTGTGTACACAGACACATAATGCACAGTGGGGGTTAGGTTTAGAAAAACAAACAAAAAAATAAAAAACAACCAACCAAGATCTGATCGGATTTGGAGTACATGTGAAATGTAATAATTCTTTGCTTGTTTTTTTCTCTTTAGCGCTTTCGTTTCAACAGGGCAGAAATTTTCGAAAAGCACGGTCCAACTTTACAAACCTACAAACATACTAACTTATCATGAGCACAGGTTTTCATTCTCATTTTTGGCCCTCCTCAGAGACTTGAACTTCGATTGTTTCAATCATGTGAGGGCCCATGTCACTGCTCGTTTTCACAACTTTCTTTCTGTCGTGCCTGAATAATTCACCTCTCGCCATCAGTTTCCAGGGCTAAGATCTAATTATCTGACACATATTCTGTGCCCTATGCGTCTTGTCCGGGGAAAAAGGGCCAAGGGCGAAAGTTATGATTCCGTAGGGTGTGAAATACAGCTGCTCCCGGTGTTGAAGTTGGCCCATGTCCTGCCTGGTGTTTTCATGCTGCTACCGTGAAAGCAATCTTCTCTGTCCAGGGCTATTATCTATGGGGCAGATCCTCACTTTTTCGAAGGTATCTACCTGACTCTGTGGTGTGTGTGTGTGTGTGTGTGTGTGTGTGTGTGTGTGTGTGTGTGTGTGTGTGTGTGTGTGTGTGTGCGTGCGTGCGTCTGCTGATGTTTGTTAGATAATCGAACGAGAGGCAGGGGTGTCTTGTACGTCTGCACGCTCTTATTACGGTCAACATGATCAATCTGACGACTCTACCAATAACGATACGTTGACTGGTGTCTGGACTCTGTTGTGATTCGTTAAGAGTTTTTCTGGCCATCACGAAAATATCGTTAAAATAGAAACGAAATATTGCGTTTCTTCTTTTCATATTTGTGAAATCAGAAGGCATAATATCATCGGTTTCTGTTTTAAACCGAAGTGCATCGTCAACCGTTTTATCCGTCGTTCCAAAATCTACTGAATGTTCTGGGTCCTTGGCACAATAAAAAACTTTTTTGGGGGGGGGGGGGCTTTTAGCCAAATCCAGGCATCTCGTTAGTGTTTGCGTTCTGGCTTCGTAAATTAAATCCTGTTGCTTACACGTCTGAACGTTTGTAGGCGAAAGAGGCATACGTCTGTCTTTCAGACAATACCGATCATTTTCATGATTTGGGCGTCAGTTTTACTAAGGCATCAGCATGAGCACACTGTTTTATAGTGTTGAAAACTGTCGTGTTGTTCGGCCTGTTTGTTTCTCTTTGTGTCTAGTTTATGTTTGTAAAAGACAACATAAAAGAGAATGGCTTTTTTCTAGTGAACCGCCGTCTTCATTTGAATCCTTTACGACGGCACTATTTAGCATTCGAAGTTAAGTGAACGGTGATTGGGGGTCAGTGATGGGGGTGGGTGTCACTTGTCTCAAATAAGTGTTTAAGCAGTGCTCTGTTTAGCATCAGGATTCGCTTTCGATCTGGATTAGCAATCTATGGGTCACTGTTTAGCATCACCATTAACAATTATTCCAGAGAAGAGATCTCTTCGAAGTCCTTATTTCAATGCAGCACGAAAAGGAGCTGTTCTGGATCGTACGTCATTGGGCTACGCTGCTTAGAATCTTTACCCGTTGAGTTTTTCCCAGACATGTTGACGAGAAGATTGCTGCACAACATCACCATGACGACGAGGCTAATGGTCACGTGACAGTTTATTTTGTTAGTCCGAGCCTCTGGGAGTTCCCACCACTTCCACGCTGGCGAATAATGCTTAGGGAGTGGAGGTAGAAGTGTCTTCACGTGTGGCTGGTGCTAATGTCCACACACACACACACACA